ATCGGCATGCAGCGATGCGGGAGGAAGGCGGCAGCGGGTGCTAACAGTAGAGAGTATGAGTGTTCGAGTAGTGCGAGCGGGGAAAAAGCCAAGGCACAAGTTAAGCGGCTGCAATTGCGCTAGCTCCCGCTGCATTGTCTTGCTGCTTGCTTCTCCCCCCAAACAGTCGCTCTTACGAGCAGAGCAGCCTTCTTCTGGTCTTTGGTCTGGGCGTTGGCGCAGTGGAAAGTCCGGCCCTGCTGATCGTCTGTCTTGCTGTGTATGCAGCTCTTCTCTTGACGTTGCTGGAGCGCATAAACGCGGAAAGGCTGATGAACTGATGCATGCAAGCTCCTTGGTGGTCATTCACGATTCACGAGTTACGGTTCACGGTTCACGGTGTTGATGGACGCGTTGAATGCCGTCCATTTGTTGCATCGATAGCTGCATGTTCATCATGATTCACGATGCCAGCACATTTCTGGTGTGCGCGCTCTGCGTGCTGTCATCAGAGGAGCGTCGAGTCTTTGCAGAGCAAATTGAATGACATTCGACTCGTCAATCTTGAATCGCGTGCATCGAACCGTGAGAATTTAGTTAGACGTCCCGCGGCTGCCGTGTCCGCAGTGATACGCCGCGGGTTCAGCTACAACCTATGTACGGTATACTCATCGTGCGGCTGTACATTGAGCCAAGCATGTCTTTACAGTCTTGATGGAGTCATCGGTGTGAGCCATGCAGCGGATCCCGATTTGCTTCCTGATTCGCAGCATATAGAAGGCTTCGCCGATCCGGCACCGAAATTGACTGTTGTCGAAGTGAGAAGACGACGATCTTTATATGATCGATGGACCTGCTTATAAAACCGCGCCCACTGCGCTGATGATGAATAGATGGATACGCGTGACTCGAGACTTTACGGGTCTCGAGTTTCGAGAAGATGAGTCTGATGAGTCGTGGGTATTCATGTGTGTGTGCCTGTTAGTGCCATTGATCTGTTCACGTGACTTGTGGTGCCACATACTTCCACTTTGTAGCTTCTGCGCGGTGAGAAAAGAATCAATAAATGGAACACGGGCGCGCCGACATACATCAGTGTAGGGACGAGTGGGCTATCGTGACTGCTCTAGTCGTCAGTCTTATATAGACTTGAGTCTCAGCGTTTGCGTGCTGAATGAAGTCTGATTGATGAGTATGAACATTGGCCGAGATGCTCGCGAAGGTATACCATACCATACACGGTTGGCAGTCGGTCTATCTGACTCTCACACCTTGTCTTGCGTCCGAGACGTACCGGTAGCGGTGTATACAGCGATCAAGGCGCCCTTGAGTCAGCCCTACTCAGTCGCGAGTCGAAAGACTACACAAATGCACACACTCGCATGCGCACAGCGGTGGCCAGGCCGTATTTGAATCGTCCGTCTGTCTCTA